CCCCTAACCCAAACAATGCTCATCTATATGCTGTCTCTAGTAATATATGCTCAAACGAAGTGTCAAATATCTCAAGTATGGAATGCGGGACAAAAAGCCACCCCTGTGTAAATTATGGTTGGATTTTAATTAGAAACGTAAGATATATATCCAGCAATAAAATATACATTATCATCAGATCAATCACACATTTAAAACCGTAAAAATAGAAACCCTCATCAAAATGACTCAGCCAGCCGTAACTGCACCCCTGGCGCTCCTGGCACGAAAAATCATGTTCCGATGATGAATCGTGTGTAGGGATAAGAAATGACACACCACCTGGGGCTGAGGTAGTGGGCGTAGAGCTCCGTGGTATGAGGCCAGACAAAAAGACGGTGTCGGTGGTGGTGAAATGAGGAACACGATATTTCTTCTTGCCGATTCAATGCGGCGTCGGTTGAAGAGACCGAGCGGCGGTTGCCAAAATATTTTCTTAAATAACATACTTGACGATTTCGAAAAAGTGTCATAATATATTCGTAGGCAAGCAAATTAAGACGAAAGTATTCAAGAATAATAAAACAATTTATATAAACTTTTATTACTAAAATTTAAACGGTACAAGGATAAAAACATAAACATCACATAAAAAATATTTTATGAGAAAAACCATGCGATATGCATGATTACTTATTTTGTGTAAAACCACTATTCCAATTAATTAGATTGCCATTGGCGTAGATAAGAATAATTTATGAGAGCTATACCGTTTATATGTATAAATTTCGAAATTATCAAAGTGTAGTTGGCAACTGTATTCTTTATTAATATAATATATCAGACATTAACAATATTTTAGCTATAAGGTATGTAGGTTTGAAAAACAATGTCTCGCATCTAGATTTTTGCAAAATTTTTAAAATCTTAGAGATTCCGGAGGTACTTATTTCAGATTTGGTAACTCATATTGACCAACAGCTACTTCAGAATTTTATTGTTTTTGTTTAGGTGGTACTACCACAAAAGTAGTAAAGACTCCGTTAAAAGATTCACGATACTGCATCTTCTTGGGCATTTCTTACAATATTGTGAGTTCTTTGATTGGAGAGGTTATTAATCCAGGATTAAAATATAATGGATTTTTTGCAATATATTAATTTGAAAGGGCATGGCTTTGTCCTGGCGTTTCGAATATGTTCATTCCACTCATATGGAGATCTTCTGGTTAACTAGTCTCCAATAAAATTTGATTTCAATTTTCACGTCTGTTTTGAAATAAACACGTGATCGCCACGCATCCTGGGTGGACATTCATCTTCTTTCACCGACATGGCGGGACATTCATCTTTATTGCTCTAAACACGTATATTAAAATTTACTGTTACTTGTGTTGCTCACTAGTTTTAGCTGGTTTAAAGACAGTCAAATTATAATGTATTTCATTTATAGACAAATAGAGACAAATATAGAGAAATACAGAAAAATATAGAGAAATATAATAAAATGTAATAAAATAAAGAAAAATACAGAGAAATAAGAGAAATAGGTAAAAGTAGAGAGGAATAGAGATAAATAGAGAGCAATAGAGAGAAATAAAGAGAAATAAAGAGAAATAAAGAGAAATAGAAAGAAATAGAGAGAAATAGAGAGAAATAGAGAGAAATAGAGAGAAATAGAGAGAAATAGAGAGAAATAGAGAGAAATAGAGAGAAATAGAGAGAAATAGAGAGAAATAGAGAGAAATAGAGAGAAATAGAGAGAAATAGAGAGAAATAGAGAGAAATAGAGAGAAATAGAGAGAAATAGAGAGAAATAGAGAGAAATAGAGAGAAATAGAGAGAAATAGAGAGAAATAGAGAGAAATAGAGAGAAATAGAGAGAAATAGAGAGAAATAGAGAGAAATAGAGAGAAATAGAGAGAAATAGAGAGAAATAGAGAGAAATAGAGAGAAATAGAGAGAAATAGAGAGAAATAGAGAGAAATAGAGAGAAATAGAGAGAAATAGAGAAAAATAGAAAGAAATAGAGAGAAATAGAGAGAAATAGAGAGAAATAGAGAGAAATAGAGAGAAATAGAGAGAAATAGAGAGAAATAGAGATAAATAGAGATAAATAGAAAGAAATAGAGAGAAATAGAGAGAAATAGAGAGAAATAGAGAGAAATAGAGATAAATAGAGATAAATAGAGATAAATAGAGATAAATAGAGATAAATAGAGATTAATAGAGAGAAATAGAGAGAAATAGAGAGAAATAGAGAGAAATAGAGAGAAATAGAAAGAAATAGAGAGAAATAGAGAGAAATAGAGAGAAATAGAGAGAAATAGAGAGAAATAGAGAGAAATAGAGAGAAATAGAGAGAAATAGAGAGAAATAGAGAGAAATAGAGAGAAATAGAGAGAAATAGAGAGAAATAGAGAGAAATAGAGAGAAATAGAGAGAAATAGAGAGAAATAGAGAGAAATAGAGAGAAATAGAGAGAAATAGAGAGAAATAGAGAGAAATAGAGAGAAATAGAGAGAAATAGAGAGAAATAGAGAGAAATAGAGAGAAATAGAGAGAAATAGAGAGAAATAGAGAGAAATAGAGAGAAATAGAGAGAAATAGAGAGAAATAGAGAGAAGTAGAGAGAAATAGAGAGAAAGATAGAAATAGAGGAAAATAAAAAGAAAGAGATAAACAGAGAAATATAGAGAAATTGAGAGAAATAGCGAAAAACAGAGAGAAATTGAGAGAAATAGAACGAAATAGAGAGAAATAGGGATAAATGGAGATAAAAGGAGAGAAATAGAGAGAAAACCTATATTTATACACTATAAACGAGAAAAAAGGTTTGTTTTTTTGTATATATTTTTGTGAGTTTAAAGTAACAATGCACAATGCATATTTTAGAGTTATCCTATTTATAAAAAGGTACACAGGGTGATTCGGCCTAATATTTGCGGGCCTGTCTTTGTAAACTGTTAGTTACTATTTTCAAACAATATTTTTTTTAAATTTTTGATTGGAATAATTACTAAACAGAATTTTACAAACATTCTACGTCACTCGTTATAAAAAATTTCGAAAATAGTAGGATAAATAGTTACTTTGATACCATCGCCTATACAATACCAAGACGTGTATTATAATCAAAAAAAGATTGACAATAAAGGTAATATTGACTGATTCACATGCCATCATTTACAGCCAATTTATTAATTCATTGCAAAATGTCAAGAATATTTTAACAAAAAAAAAAAGCTACAGTGACGTAAATGGATACTATGCGGAAGCAATTATTCAATTTGTGTTATTAACACGCAAACAAGTTTTAATTCAAAGTTATATGAATTTAAAAAAAATATTTTAAAATATTTTTGGTTCCGTTTTTGTTTGAATATTAAAATATAAATTTTTTAAAGAAATCGCTCTATATTTTATTTTAGTTTTTAACTGGTTTACTAATATTGTATTTAACCCTACTATTTTTTTTAATATTACAGGGTTGCCAAGCAATTCATTTTTTATGAAATTAGAAAGTGATGCAGACCCCAAATAAAATTATGATAATTTAGGTAGGTTTAGTCTTATAAGATACTAAGCTAACGAATGGTGATGATAGAACTGGTTTATTTTATACAGAGTGTTTTATACCTGTGCTAAATATGGCTAATTTTAAGTTCAATTTTTTAAAATGCAACAGCCTGTATCTTTTAACATAAATTTCTTTATAAATTTACCTATCCATGTATACCAACATGTTAGCATATAACACATATACAGGGTGTTTAATCAGTGCGAAAATGATTGATAGCTGTTCTATTGTTGGAAATACAAAAAAAAATCATGTAAAAGTTGTATGACCATGTTTAATAAATATTTTTAAATATACAGGGTTATACATAATCGAGAAGCTGACCAACCTTATACATTTTTAAATACATATTTGATTGTTTTCACATTTTCTATGTTATATGTCAAAATGCGAGGTAACAATTTTCTCAATTTTTTTATATGGAATGCCTTTTATGTCATACCACCTATTAATTATTACAGGGTATCCCGTTTAAAAAATTTAGAAAATCGTAACCTCACATTTTGACACATCCTTTATACAACATAGCAAATGAATTAAGTCAATTAAAATTGTTTGACGTTGTGAAAACAATCAAATATGAAAAACTACCTGTACGGTGTTTTGCTTTAAAAAAGCATAGCTTTGACACGTTGTTTATGGACCACCCTCTATATTTAAGAAAAATTGTTAAATATGGTCATACAACTTTTATATTAATTTTTTTTGCATTTTGAATAATTAAACAGCTATCCATCAATTACGCACTGATAGGAAACCCCTGTATATCTGTTATTGGCTGACATTTTGGTATCATTGTATCTGCAAAATTATAAAAAATGTTATGCTTATAATATACTGAGTGTTGCATTTGAAAAAATTGATTAAATTGAACCTGAAACTAGCCATATTTAAGACATGTTTCACAACACTGTGTATAAAATAAACCACTTCTATCACCACTATTCGTTATCTTGGTACCTTATAAGTCCGTATGTTAAACAGTTTTAAAATCAATGTAAACCTACCTAAATTATGATAATTTAATTTGGGGTCTACATCATTCTTTAATTATAAAAAAAAAATAAAATTGCTTGGCAATAGCGTAATATTTTTTAAAAACATTTTATGGCCAAATACGTTATTTTTGTACATTTTGCCAAATGAAAAAATGACAGTCAACAAACATATATTGCAAGTTTTAATGTATTTAAATAATTCAAATATGGTTTTAAATCTTTTAATAATTCTGGTTGTACGAGCTTATTAGCCTTCTAAATACGCACCTGTTTCCACATTTAACGGCATCTTTATGTTCTACTTTGCGAGATCCTAGTACTGTCCGTATTATCTAAATAGTGTACACCCTACCCTGTATACCCACGCAGGAAATAAAATATCATTCCTAAGCACAATTTGTTCAAAAATTTTATTCATCATATACAAAAATAATTATATTACGTTATTGAAACTAACAAAATTCTCTGTATAAAACAAAATTGGTTTTGAAATCAAAACAATCACTCCCGTAATCCTCTTTCCTAAATTTTCCATTATAAGATTATTTCCGTTGGTCCAATCCGTCAACATCAGAAGGCAAGCCTTCTAATCCTCCCCCGAAAACGATCATGCCCATTTACTGTCCATCCCGATCCCCTTGGCTACCTGTCGTTCGGTTCCTCTTTTTGCCGATATTGATTGCTTCCTGGATAGTATCTGGCAGCTTTGTGTTGAGGGTCTCTGGAAACAACAATGCCAATGTTCCAGAGGTGCAGGCGATGATAGCGAACATTATTAGAGGGAGAATTTCGGATATCCTCGACTGAAAAACACAATTAATTATAAAGATAAGACCGGCCCGTTATTACAGCAAAAAAGAAATTATTTCCAATTAAAAGGGGGTCCTTAATTGGTGTATAAGAGCGTGTCCTCCTACAGAGTGTGTTAATAAATATTTTGCATGCTTTACTAATAATGAAGATACAGTTATTTAATATTTGAAACCTTTTCTAGCAGTGTGATAGATATTGAAAAAAAATTTATAATATAAGATCAGCCATTTTATTTTCACAAAGTCTAACAGGTTATAGACCCAGGCTACGATTAAAAAAGAAAAATAAAAAGATTTGCTAGAGGAATATTACAGCAATTACCACAGCTATCCTGGCGATCCTGAGTTAAAGCAATTTTAGAGAAACAGCAATTAAAAAATAAAGTTTGGTATGAGAAATATTGACTAATTAGAAATTAAAATTATCACTTTTATTAATGCCGATAATTAGTAGGAAAACCAAGACGTAAAAATAGAAGAAAGGAAAAATAAATCGGAAGAAGGTAATCGATTAAAGAAACACCAACAATTTGACGATTTTAAATTTTATTTAACAAATTTTAGTAGCCAATGAATGATCCTAAAACATATAAGCAACCAATAGAATTTCCTAAGTGGCAAGAAGTTCTAAAGACAAAACTGGACGCTCTGCATAAAAATGAAACCCGGAATCCTGCAGCCTTGCCTCCAGATAAGTAGGCCATTGACACATAATGGGTCAGCCAAGCCAAAGAAAATGGGACAAAAAGGTACATATTCTATGTTTCTATGGTTAAGCATTTTTCTGGGCTATTTAAATTCCGAAGAAAACATTAAATATCCTAAAATTATGACGAAGTACTGACAATAAGGTACTCAAATCAAAAAGATATTTGTACGAATTGAAGGAAAGAGTGAAAATTTGAATATTAAAAAGCTAGAAAAAGTGTATCTGGTTCTATTCTCTTTTTTAAAGGTAATGCTGTCTCTTGGATATCCTAAAAACAGAATTGTGTTGCACTATCTCAAACTGAAGCTGACTACGTTTCTGCGGCTTCATCAACTTAAGTTCTGGTAAACTTAAAAGGAATTTTAGTAGATTTCTATAAACCCATAGATAATGTTCTCCTACTCGTAGATATAGAGCAGTGGTTGGTGGAGGGCTTTAGTTAGTGAGTCAACTTATTGAAATTTTGAAGCTATTTTCTTAACGTCTAGATTTCCATCATTTACTAGTTCACGAAAAAATAAATGTTTTACTTTAATACGTTAAGTTCTATTATGGTTTTTTTATGAAAGGTTCTGAGCTAATTTGATTTACCTTAAAATTATTATTAGCCAAATAGCTTTATAACCGATCTTACTAGTCAAACTATTCTTGCTTCTGCAGTGGAAATTTCAACAGAACTCTGTTTCTGATTCTTCTATTCATTTGCATATTGTATATCACTTGCAGTAATAGAACGTCCTCTTGGCATATTACTACCATGAACAGCATCACTCTAACGCTCTAACGTTTTATTTTCGCCTTTTAAATAATTATTGCCAGAGTTGACTATTACTTTTAGATATCGTAAAATACATTTTACTTTGACAATATATTCTCTGGTTAAATTGCTAATTTTTTTTTTTTGATGCTACTCTAACAGCATTTATAATATTTGGCCTAGTGCCAACCAATAGATTTGCTAGTGCTCCTACAGATTTTATATATGAAAAATTTTCGCTGGTTTCGTTATTGCACTGGTTTCTTTATCTCTTACAGTTGGGTTTTTTCCAATTTTGTGATTACCAAAACTTTTTTTAATGGATCCATCTTCTCTGAAATTTAACTTTAATTCTACTAATTATGAAGCTGGCTTTGATGTAGTCTTAAACTTTTTTTTAGCACTTCAAGAACTGGTTTAGCATTAGTTTTGTTACCAGAGGCATTATAGGTATTTAGCAAAACTCACCAGATAGACTTGCAGATAGAGAAGAGGGATATGCTGTATAGGATTAGGAGACCAACAGTGAGAGACAAAAAGGAACAAAAGGAAGAAACCATTTAAAAGTGGATGCGGAGATAAGCTGAACTCGAACATGTGCCTCACTGGATCAAAGTCCTAATACCAGATCTAGAGGCTTGGTTAGAGTACCAATTTAGGACAATTTACTGCTATATGACACGTTTTTTGATTGGACGTGGATATTATGGCATCTACACCCATCGTAATGGAAAAACACCAGACAGTCAGTGAATATACTGTGAAAAAGAGGTAAAATGTAATAGAGGCTACAATATCTGATCTGACTCCCAAAGAATTTATCAACTGGAAAATGACAAGTTAAATAATCTGGAAAAAGGTCAGTTGCTCATTGCAGAGTTCCTAAAGTTGAAAAAGATAAAGAAACATGTAATTAGGAACTAAAGTTTAAAATTAAATGATACCGCGTACCACAGGGATGATATATCAATGAGTTCCGAAAGCAAAATCAGCAAGAGGTGAATTTTTTAGTGAATAATGATTATGCCTAAGTCTTACACTATCCGGCTACCAACACCCAAACCAGGTGTGCGTAAAGGCATTTTTCTCATGTATTTAGAGAAAAATTGTCAGAAGAAGCAATATGCCCGTAATATACATACAAAGCAACTAAGGCCTTTACTTCTTATATATTATAACTAAACATGGATCAGCTTGACTTTGTATGAAACCGCCACTTATTAGAAAGACATGAACACATTTATTTCAACACAGTAGAGAGTGTTTAAGTCCATAAAGGATATTCTTTAACTTGCAGACCTTTTCTGTTCGATCACTAAAACACTTTAAAAATACAATTAGACAACAACGGTTAAAATTTCATGTCAGTTCATCAGTCGCAGTTTAAACAAACGAATTTCACCTGCAGTCTGCAGTGAAGCAGTAATCGTATTCTATAACCAAATTCAGTTGTTGGGATTCTGAACTTGGGAATTTCCCATTTAAATTTCCCTTTTTTTAACCTTATTTTAAATTTAATTAGTTATTAAAAAAAAGTTTTTCTATTACTTATTTGCTACATCCAAGATCATTTCATTAATAAAAAAAAACAGTGTATATAATGACATTACAATCCTTACACTTTTAAATTTTACGTTATTTGTAAAGGGGAGTAAATTTTAATTATGTAATAAAATATTGTTACGCAGAACCCTTCAGCGTGATGCGGTCGTCATAAGTAAAGGTACGAGTAAATTAACAAGAGAATAGTCCAGAAAAGTCTCGAAATGTCAATCCTTGTTATAGAAAAACCGGGATTGTTCGAGAAGGTTATAGAAGGTTGAGGCAAGCTATATAAGTCGACGACCTGACGTCAGAGTTTCAGTTTTATGACAGATGTTGTATGTTAATGTTATCAGTTGGATAGTTATTGTTGAATTGAGTTATTGTAAAAGTTGAGTTGCAATAAATTTTGATACCAAAAACCTGTGTAACATTGGTGACAGCGGTGGAATATATAAAAGAAAAGTTACTCAAGCATCATATTTATGGTAAATACTAGATTCACTACGCACGAAGCAGATATATATACCTCAGGACCACCAGCATGGTTTTTGAAGATGGAAGATGAGAGAAAAATACGAGAAGAGCAAAGGGAAAGGCGGGAGGAGGAAAAGGAAAGGCGTAGGAAGGAAGAAGAGGAGGAAAAGAAAAGGCGTAGGAAGGAAGAAGAGAAGGAAAAGGAAAGGCGTAGAAAGAAAGAAGAGGAGGAAAGGGAAAGGCGTAGAAAGAAAGAAGATGAGAAAAAGGAAAGGCGTAGGAAGGAAGAAAAGGAAAAAAGGAAAGGCGTAGGAAGGAAGAAGACGAGGAAAAGGAAAGGCGTAGGAACGTAAGAAGAGGAGAAAAAGGAAGGATGAGGAAAAAGAGAAGGAAGAGGGGCATAGGAAAGCTCAAGTAGAAATTATGAATGCTTTGCTACAAATTAAGCAAGAGATTGGTCAGCTCAAAATTAGAGTAGATCTTTTAGAGCAACAACAAGAGCATTTAAAAACTAATTTAGAACAGCAGCAAGAGCATTTAAAAACTAATTTAGAACAACAACAAGATAACTTGAAACAACAGGAAAAGGCTAAAGTAGAGTTCGAAAGGCAAATTAGAACTGAACAAGTCGAGTTAGAGAGAAAAATTCTTAGCCTAGCTTCGATAAGCAACAAAGAAGTTGAAAACACTACCTTGTCCTAATCTGTAATCAAACCAAGCCATATTCAACACCCAGTTTCACAAATCCATACTAGCAAGATCATTAAGCCACCCACGCTTGACGGTCAGACAACATGGGAAACGTATTGCCTCCAATTTAAAGCTGCAGCTAGAGCCAATGGCCGGGCTGAAAAGGAGATGGCGGCTGCATTAATAGTATCGCTGCGAGGACAAGCGACAACCGTGTTACAGTTACTTCCTCTCTTTCAAGCTTTGGAGACAAGATACGCCCAGCAGCATTTAAAACGGGTATTTGAAAGCCAGTTAAAGGTTCGCAGTCGGAAACATAATGAGAGTCTACAGGAATTCGAGGCCGATATAAAACGATTGACTCATCTGGCCTATCCACAGGCACCCAAAGAATTACAAGAACAAATCGGCATACAAGCATTTATTGATGGACTACAAGATGTGAAAATGCAGCAATCCCTTCGTCTACATCATCAAAAGGCACTGAGGGAGAAACTGATTGCAGCCCAGGAATATGAAGCAGTAGAACTCATATCCAGATCTTCTCGCGCAAAAGTAAGAGAAATTAAATCCCAGGAAAGTAAGGAGGCCAATGCTAATGCTATTCCCCAAATCTTAAATATTCTACGAAATATGCAACAAAACAGCCAAAATGGAAGCAGGAGATGCTTTAATTGCGGAAGATTTGGGCATCTTCAAAAAACCTGTAGATTCATGGCTCATTCTATAAATCGAGAATCAGCGAATGAGACCGGAAAATCATATAGATTAATATTTCCACGCTTATCACTAAGAAAAACAAGAATTAATTACAGCAGCTATGCGTCCCGAAGAAGCCAATCACCCACATCGAGCCGGCTTTCTAACAACAACCAGAAAGTAGACCATCGAAGAGGTCTCCATAGCAACGCAGACATTCTCTTCCGGCAACCCCGTTTAGAGGAACAATGTTGGTATGGTAACAGGCTCGAACAACTAGAAGAACCGGTTGATAAAGTTACTCTTCGAACAACCACTATCAATCCAGAGGGCGACGAAGAAGAAATCACCCTTGAAAGTCTGAGACAGGGACAGAAGAAAGACACTGACTTAAAGGTTGTTTAAAAATGGCTCAAAAATAAAGTCAAACCTACTTGGCAAGAGATAGCCAAATACAGTAGAACGATAAAAGGCTACTGGACCCAGTGGGATTTCCTGCATCTTTACGATGGCCTATTGCACCGAAAGTGGGAGAGCCCCGATGAAGTACATGTAATCCGCCAAGTGATACTGCCGAGGTCACAGGTAAGAAATGTATTGGAGGAGCTTAATAGCAGCCTTTTAGGAGAACACTTTAATACTAAAAGAACACTGGCACGAGTTGGGGAAAGATTTTATTGGGACAATTGCCGACGGGATGTAGTGGATTGGTGTAAAAAATGTGATGTATGCAATGGCAGGATAAAGGTCTATGGATTCGCTCGGGAATCACCGACAAAGCAGAAGCTAGAATCGACAGGCATGCCACAGATACACATATTGAGAGAGGCGATCCAGTATGGCTGTACAATCCTAAGCGCCGAAGAGGACTTTATCCGAAACTGCAACGGAACTGGGAAGGCCCCTACACCGTCCTTAAGAAAATCAACAACCTGATCTAATGCATTCAGTTGTCAGCGGGAAGTAAACCCAAGGTAGTTTACAAAGTTAGCGCCATACCGTGGTCCAGATCCTCCCCATTGGCTCCAACCAGGTCCCAGTAATCAAGTTATTCGGGGCGAATGACTAGAGAGGAGGGAGCAATGTTACGCAATACCCTGCATTGTGCTGCGGTCATCATAACTAAAGGTAACGAGTAAATTAAGAAAAGTCCTGAAATGTCATTCCTTGTTATAGAAAAATCCAGATTGTTTGAGAAGGTTCTAGAAGGTTGATGCAAGCTATATAAGTCGACGACCTGATGTCAGACTTTCAATTTTATGACAGACGTTATATGTCAATGTTATCAGTTGGATAGTTATTGTTGAATTGAGTTATTGTAAAAGTTGAGTTGCAATAAATTGTGATACCAAAAACCTGTGTAACAATAATATATTTCTGGTTTTGCACTTGATTAAGTAAATATTTTTTGTGCAATGCAAATAATAAATAGTCAATATAAAAAACTATTGTTAGGTTTTCTTTTTTGATTTTAGATTTAAATTTTATAATCAAAATGTTTACTGGAATATCTGTAAATAAAAGTAAAACCTAATATTTATTAATTATCCTATTATCATTCCAACGCCTTCTAAATTAGAAACACTCACCAATAACGGTAATTGGGGGGCCACCATGGCCCCCATCCTTCCCATCATGGCACAAACTGAGAACATGGCATGCCTGGAGCAAGTCGGAAACATTTCAGTTGTAAACACATAGATGATCGTATAGCTAATTGTTGAACAACATTTTCCTACGAGGAATATGCACAACCGGAGTGTTTGTGAGTCTAAAATACAAAATGTTAATCGATTAGAACCAGCTGGAAGATAATTAATTAAAATATATATATAAAAGAAAACCGTTTAAAAATATGTTTTATATTAATTTCAATGGCTTTTTGTGTAATTAGTGCGTAGGAATTTCTTTAAATTCCCTGTTTTTGATTCTTAAAATTAGATTTACCGCTTAGATTTCTAAAAGAAAAAATAATTTCTAATAGCAAAAAAATTCATAAAAAGTATGGAGAAAAAAGTATGGCAAACAATTACAAATTAAAGCACTTTTAATAATATCGCCAATTTTAATATTTATTCAAAGAAACTTTGAAAATAATAAATTATGACAATCTTAGTTCGATTACAAGTATTATTATATCAATTACACTGTTTTTTTAATAATCAGGCGAATATATAATTTGGTGCCAAGGATGGTTATATTTCGTTGCATATTGTATTTTCTTGCTCTGAAAACCGTAAAGTGTTAATTGTGTCTAGTATGAGATTCACTATTCGGATTAACTATTTTTTTCTTTGTTTGTTATGATATGCAGCGTCGGCTATTGAACTCTTTCCAGTACGGTTTGTTACTGTCAAACTAAAAACTAGAGGGCGTTAGCATTAGAGCGAGCAGGAAACAAATATTGACAACGCTGCCAGTTTAAACGGCCCATCCAACACCACGCGATTTTAATAATATTATTAAGTTTCTGGACGACTTCTATTTTTTTTATAAAATGATTTGTTGCATCGGCCCAAGCAATGATAGCATACTTAAGGTGGCTTTCCCCTAAGAAATAGTAAATGCTTCGCATAAATATTTAAATTTTAAGACGGTATGTCTTAATTTGTTTGACAAATGCTGCATATATTTATCCCATTTGATAATTTGTTAAAGATGGATTCCCAAATATTTAAGTGTTATTACCTCTATGGATTTAATTCGTTTTTTCATCACACTGAATGAGGAGTTTGATACAGACCGATAAGCCATTTATATAGGACTCAAATAAAGAAACTACATTTGCTGAACTTATATTGTTAGAAGTCTGTAAATAAACCAATATATAATTTTTTAAAGTTTTCTTGTACTACTCTTTGAAAGCGGGGCCAACTACTATCATTAAAGATACTTACTGTGGCATCAGTAAAGCTTAATACTTTTTCTCTCACATATAATTTGAAAATGTCATTTAAATTTAGAATAAATAGGAGTGGCCCTAAAACTGTACCTTAGGGTATTCCAGTTTAGAAATCTTTATAACGTTTAACTTTAATGGGCATTTTTACTATTTTGGTTCATGTCAGTATTCCATAAGTTTTAGGTAGTGAGTTACTAGTGATTGTTTTCTAGTTGAACTACTACTATTAGTAAGGTAACTCATAAGGAATATGTAGGGCACACCTCTAAATCCTCAGCGGTTGAGTGCCAACTCAGCGTATCCATGGGTGGTGGTTAAAAGAACGGCCAGGATTATCATGGTTAGAGGTAGACATAAGTAAAGTGAGAGAGCCTAATTCTCTCAAAATCTTTTGCAAATGCTACCGCCGCGAAATAACTCTCCCAATGTAAGATAACGTGCCGATGAATAAATTGTCACAGGAGCAGATGCGACAGAGTACCTAGCGACACCCTCTTGTATCTAGCTTTGCTGGCGCATGCATAGCTCTGTGTTGGTCGACCTTCCTTTCCCTAGATATTAGTGACTACTCATGGGAACCTTATGGATCCAAACCCACACAAATCGAAAGAGGCTGGACATCAACGCTAACCTCCCGCAAAAGAGACGGGACGTCAACGTTTACCTCCAGCAAAGGAGACGGAACGTCAACGTTTACCTCTAGCAAAGGAGGCTGAACGTCAACGTTCACCTCCAGCAAAGAAAGTTGAACTTCAAGTTTCACCTCCAGCAAAGGAAACTGGACGTCAACGTTTACCTTTAACAAAGGAGACTGGACACCAACGTTCACCTCCAGCAAAGGAGGCTAGAGAGCAAAGTTTAACTACAGCACAGGAGGCCGAACAGCGATATTCACCTTCAAAACGCGTTCCAAATTTCAATGGGGGATCGGGAAGTGAACATTATTAATTGTAACTTGCAACACAAAAGGCAACATTATGCCACCGCCTTGATGAGCTGCAAGATACCATACACTCATGCAGATACCATTCACTCATACAGGAACCCTGGATAATGGAAACTACAATTGTAGGCCTAAAAAATCTGAATAGTTCAATTTTTAGCTTTTCCAGCAACCAAAAAACTAAGACAGCCATTTACATTCCTTGGATATATAAATCCCACTCAATAGGACACCTTTACACCTCTGATTTAACTGCGGTTGATCCTGGCATATGCATACCTTCCCTCCGACGCAACTACGCCACCACCCAGCGAGTTAGAGAATCTGATGGAACACTGAGCCAGGTTGCTCTGATGACAATGACACGCCTCCGCTTGCTTGGAATAGTACCTGATGTGGGATCTGGTGAGGCGAGATGTCGCTTTCGGCAGTATGCGCTTGACACGCTCTCACTGCTTTAAGCGAACATGGGCTCCATCTCTCTGAGATATATCTTTCATAAGCCTCATAAATCATAAGAGAACAAATATAGCCAAAAATGGCAGGTACGATTCATATCTACACCGACGCTTCTAAAACAAAACAAGGCTCAGGATGTGGATACTTAAACCTAAACAAAAAATGGGCTGTGAGGAGTAGTGCCAGTGTAGTTCAAACTGAGCTCACGGGGATTCTCATAACAGCAAAAGAAATCACCAGAAATAATATCACTGAAAGAAACATGCTCATCTATACAAATAGCAGACAAGTACTACTCACTCTGGATAGAATTTATTTAGGGTTAGTACTAGAATGTCAGGAAGCTTTGGCCGAAGTATCCATCAACAATGTTGTCAAATTAGGATGGATCAAAGGTCACGCTACATCGAAAGGTAATCGTCTTGTTGATTCACTTGCCAAGAACGCTGCCAACCAAATACTTTTTGGACCTGGCCACTCATTGGACAGATAACATCGGTAGTGACAAACCTTATTAAATAAGATTCCCTTTTGAAATTCAAAAATAGATGGGATGAAATAAGAAGCTGCAGACTTGCCAGGAAGCTTTTAAATTATCCTGACAACACTACAGCAAACAAATACTTGACTATGACTAAAAATCTTCGCCTGATAATGGGCATTCTGACTGGATATTGCCAACTACGGAAACATCTCCATATCATTGAGCTGGCAGAATCCGAACTCTGCAGGGGATGCGAACAACAAAATGAGACCATAGAGCATATCCTCTACGATTGCCCGACGCTCTCATTTAATAGAAGATTTGTGTTCGGCGAGAATTGGCTAACACCGGCCACTATAAGAGAAGCACCTCTTGGCGAAGTTGTCAACTAGATTAAATCTGTAGGCTGGCTCACGAGCTAGAAGGTGCCTATCTACTTAGGAGGATGCGCAATACGCCTACGTGGGTTGACCTACCTTCCACACGTTACAGATTCAGAGATACACCTCTAAATTCTAAATTTTCTATAAAATGTAGAAAATACCTCTGATACACCATGTCAATGTCTTTAGGAAGGTCTATAAATATCGCTAGTCGGGCGCGATTTGTTAATAAAACTATTAAGATTGAATGTTACATATACAATGGCATCCTAGGTGGAAGTATTTTTAAGAAAACTAAATTGATATTTTTAAATTAGGTTGCATTTTATTTATATTTATACTATCTAAGCTCAAAGATCTTTGAAATTTGGATGTTAAAGAAATAGGCCTCGTTATTGCCATTTGTGTACAGTTAATTGACCAAACAGGTCTTAAGATATTCTGGAAAGATTCCTTTTTTAAATGATTGTTTAATTAAATAAACAAAACGTTCTGCAAAACAATTTACACTAAACTTTAACGTTTCTGTTGCCACTACACAAAAAAAAGCAGATTGTGTGTCACAGTTTATTTTATCATAATTTTTAAAAGTCGACAACTTTTAAATTTAACGCCATAAACAGGAAGGTAGGTACTTCAAACTTGGTTAGCACTTAAAATTAGCATTTACTCAAGCCTCAGTCCCACACACTTTGTAATCCTTAAAAAAAGGCGAAGCATTAAATTTATTTCCCCTTGAATTCTAATGTAGATCTAAAACAATAGGTTATTAAAATAATGAATTCAACCCCAGTCAAAAGCAAAATGTTCCCTTTTGTTTCCACTTTCAGCGGCAGCGGTTGGTTTTCTTTCTTTGTCCTTTCTGGAAGATTCAGATCAGTTGGCAGCCTCGATATGAATTATATAAATGAACAGTATTAATTATTGCCAAGGCCTGTGTGAATATTGTGAAGCTCTTGCCAGACGTGAACCGTAAAATTTTAAATATTTAAAAATATATTTATATATGTCTTGTCTACTCCAGACCAGAGGCTTTTGTGAAATATATTTGGTGGATGTAATTTTTTTTTTAACAAAATAGGATTGTGTGAGGATAAATTAAAAAAGATAAAACTGGGCATTACTAAGTTTGATAATCAATTTTTAAAAATTTTAAATTAATAGTTGTTACATTTTCTATATAATTTTTAATCAGTAATTTTATGAGATAATATTAAATAAATTATCATACTAAAATAATGTTTTATAGAAAAATGGATAATGTATCAGTGTTTTACGAATGGTAATAAGAAAAAACAGAAAATAGTATATGAGAATATAAAAATTACACTACAGATTTTTAAACTAATTGGCAGAGCAGAGCTTATTCTAGCTATTTTATATCAAAATTATCATTATCGAAGCTAGGATTATTTGCGTCCGGGCCGGAAAGGAGCACTGGCCGTCCCTTTTTTACTATCGTGAATAATAAAATAAATAATTAATTTTTATTAGTATTATAAAAATAAGCCAGGAAAATTAAATATTATAGGTTACCAATTTAATTAGAAAATACTTACAAATTCACAATTTTACAATTTTTGACTTCACTTCTGCAAATTTATATCATTGTAGTATATTGATGATGCTACTTTGTTGCTGTCAATTTAAATTTAAGAATCTAATAATTAGGACGCCATATGATTATGATAAGTTAAAATTACAGAACCGAACTTGATTAGATCTATGCTTAATCGTATGAGAGATGTTATTAGGGTAAAAGGATCTCATACTTATACAAAATTTTCCAATTTTAAGCCTAAGAAGTTGAAATAAATTTTTAAACTCATTTTAAAACATATAAAAAGTTCATAATAAAAAACCGATAAGGGTCACAAAAGCGTCAAAAGTAGTTAACACTGACATCTTGTAGCATTTTGAAAGTATTATCGACCAAGCTACACATATAGAGTAAAAACTTTAGGAGTCGCAAGATGTTGTCAGGTTAAGCGTGTTTTTTATAAAAAAATATCACGATTTACGTGTTTTAAATAATTATAGGACTATCTGTGTCTCGGGGCCTATCAAGAAAAATATATAAATTCGGACCTCAATCGTGTAGCCCTTAACTGTATAAGGGTTCTACTTTTGATGTTAGAACCTAACACGTCCCTGAAAAGAGGCTGAAGAAAAGACAGTGTTCTTAAAACAAATAAAACATAATTTAAAATGATTATACAAAATATGTCCTAACTCGACATACACAAATATAGGGCTCAATATAATAACAAATCGACAATAAAATTATTAACTTACCAACTTCGCTAATATTTGGGGCACACGTCACAACCTTTGATCAATACCGCGATTTAAAAATACAAAGAAGGCTCTAAGCCCTCGAGATCAAGATGCGGCCTAGCCACGCGGAGAATCCCCGTATGGGTCCTCAATTCTCTTTTATAGTTATTTTCTTTATTTTTTTAGTATTTTATTTATATATTATAATTATTGAATAATCAGCCTTGTACATGATTAAACAATCTTTCATGTACCAAATGTAATAACCACCGTCACTTAGAAAGTAATTGCTGTCACTATTTGAAAATGAAATGGCCAAAATGTCAAACTATTACCAGTCACAGTCTGGGGAAAAGGTCCTTAGAACTTATCCCACATACTTTGATTTTCTTTTACTATACGGAGAATAATCGCACTGCTCAGCTTTCTGAGGGCCTTTTAAAACGAGATAGAAAACTCCGCCATTTTGATCCCTTATTACATGTTGCCTATATCTTGGCGCAATATTTTTAATAGGTGCGTTTTAATCATCCGCTTCTGCTTCGAAATTGTCGGTTTTCTTGTTTTAATACAGGGATACAAATTATTTTTCTTCTTCCTTTTCTTCTTCTTCTTCTTCTTCTTCTTCTTCTTCTTCTTCTTCTTCTTCTTCTTCTTCTTCTTCTTCTTCTTCTTCTTCTTCTTCTTCTTCTTCTTCTTCTTCTTCTTCTTCTTCTTCTTCTTCTTCTTCTTCTTCTTCTTCTTCTTCTTCTTCTTCTTCTTCTTCTTCTTCTTCTTCTTCTTCTTCTTCTTCTTCTTCTTAATCTTCTTCTTCTTCTTCTTCTTTTTCTTCTTTTTCTTTTCTTCTTTTTCTTCTTTTTCTTCTTCTTCTTCTTCTTCTTCTTCTTCTTCTTCTTCTTCTTCTTCTTCTTCTTCTTCTTATTCTTCTTATTCTTCTTCTTCTTCTTCTTCTTCTTCTTCTTCTTCTTCTTCTTCTTCTTCTTCTTCTTCTTCTTCTTCTTCTTCTTCTTCTTCTTCTTCTTCTTCTTCTTCTTCTTCTTCTTCTTTTTCTTCTTCTTCTTCTTCTTCTTCTTCTTCTTCTTCTTCTTCTTCTTCTTCTTCTTCTTCTTCTTCTTCTTCTTCTTCTGTTAGTTTTTTGGCCTCCACCCTTAAAGTATTTAGCCAGAGCAGGTAATTTAGCTTATATTACGGGAATATTCGTGACAGAACGTCTGGAATTTTCCATCTTCCCATTGAAAAATCCATGTTCACTCTTTTCCATTGATTAAACTAATTTAAAACATCAGGAGCTGATATTCTAACTAATTGGACCATAAACTTGAGAACGTGTTCTCTATCATATTAATTTAATTTACTAGCTATATTCACTGTATTTCATTTACATACAAATTCAAAAAAATTTGACGCACACATACGAAACACATAAGACAATATTTACTTCTCGATGACCGATTTTTATTAAAGATTTTATCGGAATCATACAAACTTGACTTCCAATTCTGAGACCGCCATTTCGATGTTGATACCACGGTGTCAGATACAAATTCAGAATACGCAGAATACTGCTGTTTTATTATAGGCGATTGTCATATATTGTATTATCCGAGTTGCGCTGTGTATAAACTGGAACATTAAGATCAAAAGTGCCGACGCAGAGTGAGCGATCTGATACTTTAGCTATAAACTGTGGCATAGGAATCAAAATGGCCGCGCCCTATGTTGGGCGTGTCGGACCTCTCTCTTGCGCACCGTATAGTAATCAAGTATATGACTTATCCACTTACACCGTGACAAAAAAAAAAATTATAAAATAAAAAGGTTTAAATATAAGAGGATTTCCCCCCGTGATGAATAGTGCGAGCGGGTTAAAGAAATGGTTTGGTAAAGTGATAAAAGGCACCCATTATTCTTACTTGGGGTAAGTTCGTCATGGCTTCACAAAAGTGCCCAGAGTGTCTTTTAACAAAGGGGAAGGTAGACCTGATGAGGATGGAATATATATTTCACAGTTATGTATGTATTGGTTAAGTATTAAAAGGAACACCTAAATATTTATTTACTTATCGAATTTAGGATTTGATTAGATAGCTTAGGTGGACTAGGGGTTGTTCCTCTTTATGAAACTCGGGCCGAACTCAACAACTCGTAACACTCATAGGATAAAGACAGGTGAATGTTTAACAACTCAATATATTTAACTCAATATATTTAAACATGTAACAATTTTAAATATCCAATAATACCCTGAGGTTCTCGCCTGATTCGGTAAATCAGCCGACGAAAATAAAATACAGATAACTACTACAAGAATAAATGGCACAACTTGTCAGAAATCTCGTTGGATCTTGTGGCTACCGAAGTCAAGAAAATAAACTCCTATATCACTTCCTATAAAATCTACGAAGAGAGGTAACTAAATAATTTGGCAAATGAAACGGAACTGTCACAATTTTAAGATAGTGAAAGAGGAAGGCTTACGTTGCTAAAAACGTAGTTTTAATTTCACTAGCCGAAAGACACTTTATGGTAGCGTCGGTGAGTCATCGGACAGCGTAACGTCCTGCCCACTCAGTCACCTTGGAATTTGGACAGAATGTGAATTTAGGCAAAGCGTGACAATATCAGCGAATTAAATTTTATCGTATTATCAAACACTTATTAAGGTCTGCTGTTTTCTACATGTAGCATGCATTAGGTGGCTTATTATAGAGTATTCGTTTAGTGTCAACATTATTTTTTGTATTATTTTAGCAGTTTTACTAAATTTTCTTATTTATATTAAGTTCAAAGAGAAATCATGAATTGTGCAAGACAAAACTACCTAAACGTTTGTCTTACTATTGTTTGTAAGATGTATATATTTTTATTTATATTTATATTTTAATTTCTCTGTTGTTTAAAGTGATTTTACAATTTTAAATTTTAAACTTTGTAATCCTAACTTGTCCTATACATAATGTCTAACAGGACGAATACATATTATTATTATTATTATTATTATAATATTATTATTATAATATTATAAAGTTAGTTTAAGAAATATGCCAATGAATTTGGTTGAAACATGACATGCTTCATTTATCTACAATTTTCATTATGAAATATTTAAATATTCTTTTATATAAACATTTTCTTACTGCGAGTTTGTAAGGATAACATTATATCTTCAAATAAAAACCTTCTAACAGTTACATTTGTGTATATCTCTGTGCCAAGATTTTGTAACCATGAAGAAGCCCTTGGAATTATACTTTTAATGCCATAATGATTTAAATTTACTTATTACACAAACCCATTAATAATTATTGATGGTAAATGTATATTAAGGTAGTATAATTAGTAAAATAAACTACACAAGACCTTTTCTATAGCATAAAAGACGCTAATTGTATTCATATTGTTACATAATTATTTCAGTAAATAAAAAAAAATCATAATATGTTCGATAATACATTTTCCAGACTTTCCTCCAACAAAACGATTTAACGAAAATATTAAAAGATTAATTTAAATTCACTTCTCTCTCAATAAATGCTTCAAAGCAAAGAAATCCTTCGCATCTTTTTTCGATTAAAAAAAGCTGACCTATTAAATTCCTCTACGTCAAACTTATCGCCAACGTCATTTAGAATTTCAATAACTACCTTTCTGGATGAATCCAACTGCCAGACAAGAAGCTCCGGTCGCTATGAAACTAAGGAAAATCATCAATCTTCGTCCGATTTTTTCATTTCCATAGTAATAAATAATATAGGCGGGTATTTCGACGGCAGTCGAAAAAATAAAGCTGAGATAAATATTTTCCGATATGCTGACTGAATGCATGGTGAGGCCGTAATAGAGAAATGTACAGCTGATCCATGTAAACGAGCAATGGATTAATCTCAGAAACAAAATTTTCGATTTCACGGCATCAGAAAATGTTTCGCTTGCGGTTGGAGTTGGGGATTGACCGAACGATTTCCGGTTGATCGTTTGGAGGTATTTGGATAAGAGTTGGTTTTCTTTTTGGCCCGTGAAACGTGTTACGATTTTTTGCACTTCGTCTTCTTTCTTTTTCGATAACAACCATCTAGAACAGAACAGAAATAATTACAGAAGAATCAGAAGATATTAGTATTCCTAATTTCGAAGGAAATATTCGTTTCTGAATATGTATATATATTATATTGTATTAGACATAATTTTAGGGTCAATTTAATAGAGTAGTAAGAAGCTAAGTACGTGCGAGTAGAAAAGTTGCACACGAGCCGCTTTAGCGGCGAGTTCAAAAATTCTACGAGCATGTAATTGCTCTTATATCTCGAGTAATGTACTATATTTAATCTACAACCACAATCTTACATTCATAATAACGAGATGGCTTTCATAACCTATAACATTTATTAAAGATATTTAAATAAAAATATTGTAAATTGCAAATGCAAATACTATTTTAAATAAAGACAAATTGTTTTAGATATAAACCTTTGTTAATAAGTATTGTGAATTATGATCTTCATTTAAAAATTTACATAATTCATAAAAAAATTCCACTTTTAAAACCATCTTGAGGTATGCTTTTAGTTTTGGGTGCGTTTCAATATTCACTTTATTTTTATTGAAAATGACGATTTTTAACATAGAATACATTGCCCGTAATGATAAAGTTTGAATTTTATTATTCTATAAGTTCCCCAAAATATGCAAAAAACATTCTCAGAAAATGAGTTAAAATTTAAATAATCAAGATATAAAAATGGATTTTTTTTGTAATTTTAAAAATAAAATACAGAAACTTTTGTTCTAATACCTACATATATTTTGTATTATAAAATATAGTTACAAAAAATTGAACATCTAATAAAATTAAGAACAAACATTTCGGAAGCAAAAAGAAATACTAAAAATTTTAAGAAAATTAAACGAATTGGGTTCTGGTATTTAAATATTGGGTTGTAGTATTTCTTCGGAAAAATCGAAAAATCGAAAAATTGAAAAATCGAAAAATTGAAAAATAGAAAAATCGAAAAATCGAAAAATCAAAAAATCGAAAAATCGAAAAATCGAAAAATCTAAAAATCGAAAAATCGAAAAATCGAAAAATCGAAAAATCGAAAAATCGAAAAATCGAAAAATCGAAAAATCAAAAAATCGAAAAATCGAAAAATCGAAAAATCGAAAAATCGAAAAATCGAAAAATCGAAAAATCGAAAAATCGAAAAATCGAAAAATCGAAAAATCGAAAAATCGAAAAATCGAAAAATCGAAAAATCGAAAAATCGAAAAATCGAAAAATCGAAAAATCGAAAAATCGAAAAAACGAAAAATCGAAAAATCGAAAAATCGAAAAATCGAAAAATCGAAAAATCAAAAAATCAAAAAATCGAAAAATCAAAAAATCAAAAAATCGAAAAATCGAAAAATATTTTATTACAATGGCTCTTTTTAGTGAAACTCAAAATGCTGATGAAACTGGTCATATTCCATTCAGAGTTGCATTCCACAAATTAAGGAATGTTTTCCAGATGTAAAAATAATTGAATATGGTACTTTTCGTCAGCAAAACAATTTCTTGCTCAACCTTTCGAAACGAAAAGTTGCTTTCGTAAAGGAAAGGGTCTGGAAGGCCTATCTCCGAAGATGTTAATTATGTGCGGATTCGCATGGAGCATAGTCCCAATAAATTAGTAAAAAAATTAGCAACTTAACTAGGTTGGACCAGTGTTTGTGAGTCTGACTCTCCTAAAAGCTGATTTTTAAAATAAAAAAAAGTCGATAGGAACTAGCCATGAGGTGTTAAAAAATCTAACAATGCAAATATATAAGGTTTCAGTACTGCAACAATTGTTTCCTTGTAATTTTATTACTCTAAATATTGTCAATGGTCAATTAAATGACAATAACTAATTGGATCGAACTTTTTTACTGATGGAGTATGGTTTTACTTATCAGATATTGTCATCTGTCAAAATTATTGAATATCGACAACGGAGAATTCTCATTCATTTGTGGAGAGAAGTCTACATTATAAAGGTTGCTATTTGGATAGCAATTTAAATATTTCAATAAGAATTGTTGGCTCCATATTTTTCTATGACACAACTAATGTATTGAAATATTTTTTGTAAATTTGTTATTTTCAAAAAAGATAATACAACAGCTCGTACAGCTAGAGCTGCTAATGACATAATAAAATAATACTATAATTAGCGAAATATAAGTAAAAGTTTATGGCCTTTGAGATCTCCAGACCTCACACCTCTTGACTACTTACTCAGAAATTGTTGTCATGATATTTTTTTATTTACTAAAGCAATGTTTATTTAATGAGATTAAAAATGTAACATAGGAACAACTGCATGAAAATGAAATTTACTGCTTGTATTGAAGCTGGTGATGATTTTGATCATTTACTGTGAATGTTTATCGTTTGTACATCACCAAATTATCCTTTCAAAATTACAGACGAAGAAACTAATTAAAGGCGGTACCAGGGGCGGCTCGTGACCAAAATTTTAGGGGTTCACAGTATCAGAATATAGATCCCGGTACAGATATAGGTAAAAAAATGTCAGTGTTTTAGAAAGGTATATTATAAACTTTCTAAAACACTGAAAGTTTTTTCATACATCTGTACTGATACCTATATTCTGTCACTGTGAACCACCCCACGAGCCACCATTGGGCGGTACCCAATATAAAAATAAATAATAAAAATCTACCTTAGAGATTCTGGTATTGTCCAGTAAAATGTTAATGATATTAACCCTGGAAAGTATAGTACTCGTAACATAATTCTCCATGAAGGGGTCAACCAAGCTGCCAATCCTACACACATTTCTCCCAACGAAAACAAACAACAAATTATGATGTTTGTTATGTTCCTGTTTTTTGGTGCAACAAATTCCATTGCTAAAAAGAAAATAATATACAGGTTAAGACTTAAGTAACGGATTTAATTTTTACTGTAAGTTTAGAATGCAAAATGATAATATTTTACTTGACGATAATTAATATAAAAACCCTTTTTTTTAAGCAACAGTGTGTTAAAGTTAGAAAAATACAACAGCATTTTTCTGGATGTAGACCTGAAAATAGGGACTAAGATATTTTTTTAAACAAAACAAATAGGTTAGTAGATCTAAGTTAACTCGTAGTTATCTCCAAATGCGCCATATTTTCAAAATCAAAAAGTATACTTTTTTATACAAAAAATGATAAGTCTTTTAAAATTAAATATGTAAATTGTATATTTTTGAGTCTGAAAAAATATATAGCTCGTTCTTTTGTTCAAAATGGTGTATGTGGCGACATCTACTAGCAAACTAAAATTTAACAACATATTCTTCTTTACATAAATAAAAAATTCCTTGAATTGTTCGGTCATATTGTTTTATTTTCTTTAATTCTAGCACAGTGTCTTTGTCAGTTTTAAAAATTTTAAACTGTTTGTAATCGTCCCCCCATGTTTCATTAAATTTTATCTGCACCAGAATATGGAAAAAAAAATCGAAACACATGTAGTGCTTGTGCTTGAATTATAGAAAATAAAAACAATTTGACCGAATAAACCAAGGAAAAACAACCCTATCCCAAGGTTCAGGCCTATATTTATAAAAATGGCTATTTTAAAAATATATACTATAGGGATTAGTTTAGAAAGGAGTGATCTTAGACCTATTAATGTTAAGTAAAATATGTATTATTAAAATAAAACAAAAATAAAACTCAAACCTAGTGTCACAGTGTCCCAGTGTCACGTATGAAAGGTAGAATAACCAACGGCATTTAGGCATCCACTGGACCTATTTTTCATTCTCCTAAGTTGATAGACACTTATGAGCCAGCTAACAGATTTAACGTAAATGACAGAATGCGGAATCTGACGGCCCCATACAATGGAGATGGTTCCGTACTTGACAATGACCAGTCAGAATGCCTGTAATCAGGCGCATATTATATCTAGTCATAGATATTGAAGGGTTCTTACATTACTGTTTTATACTTTTAAAAGCAACTTTCATTCTTTTACAGAGTATGATCTTAAAATTCCTTGTTTTTAGAACGACCAAGTTACCTGCATACGTTGTGTAGACACTAATATGATAACGGTTTCTAGGACCATGTTCCACAGTAGAGGTGATATTACCTGTTCCTGTGGACATTTTCTCGCAACCAAGCCTTATTATTCATATCTTCTATACTTATGTTTACTGTTCGCTTTAAGAGCGTGTTATTTATCCATCCATTAACCATCTGTAAAATATTCCTTTTGATTAGGTTGAAAATAAGTAGGATGTTCTTATCGCCTTTCACCGTGACCGAGATGGATCTATTGTGGCTCAAATTCCTATTGGTTAGTGAGTATATTATCTTTGATCTTATCAAAAGCACCTTTTATGTCTATAAAAACGAACAAGGCGGACTCTGTTTTGTCCAGGGATCTCTCTATCCGGTCAACAACTAGGTGAAGAGCTGAATCAGTAGATCTGCCTGGGGTCTATGCATGGTAATTTGGGTGTAGTGGTGTTGTTTTAATCACCACACCCCTTATATACCTTTCACATAGCCTTTCCAATGTCTTCATGGAAAACGGTGTCAGGATAATTGGTATGTATGTTTTTGGGGCAGTGTAATCCATCCTTATAGATTTGGATATGAAGACAATTTCTGCCTCTCCATTTTTTAAAGATATACCTCAGAGTCAACGAGGATTTGAATATACCTACCAGGTGCGGTGCAAGTTCTTCAAGAAATCACTGAAGCAGAGCTGGATAGACATCGTCAGGACCTCGAGATTTAAACGGAGAGAAGCTAGATATTTTCGAATTTATTTTGGTATCGTTTACAATGTGTTTGGCAGTTTGCCAATCGTACACATGTAAGTTGTTTTTTTTTTCTATGCTCAGCTGGCCACATCTGTGATGACCGAGTCAGGTAAGTATGTTGGCAGCTGAAGTTTGATGCTATCTATATTGATGTCTATTTCTTGCTGATAAGTCTAAATTAGAACGAGACCAGTCCAATAACGACGTTTTACTTAGTAAACAAAATCAAAGGGAGATAAATTATTATTATTGTCTATCTCAGCTGTTTTACTTCGGATATAATTCAATGCTTGTAGCAGTATTGGCTGGAGAAGTAGTTGTTTTCCTAAAGGAAATAATCGTTTGTATCATTATGTAATAATGTCTATGAGTTTTATTTTTATTTTATTATTGAGTTAGAACTACTTTCTTATTTTTAAAATATTATTATTTTTGCCTTCTAAACGTACAATTAAAATTTGGCTCATTACTTTTGACCCATCCTGTTATTTACATGTCATACATCGAGTTAAATAAAAAAAATTAACAAAAGCTGTTCGTTTTAATAAATTATATTATTTATAAAATTAAATCAAAATAGAAATAGAAAAGTTAAATTATCAAAAAATCGCAGTATACAATGCAATTAATCTTTAGACACGGTGGCAAAAACTCGGTATTAAACATTTACCATCACTTATAGTTTACTGTTATTTTCATTATTATGGGTGAAGTAATTCAGTATTTACCTAAGATAAATGCACTGTTGTACATTCCCGCTCCAAGCGCCGGATCCAAAAATTCCAGCAAGAGATACATTATGTAAGAGACTGAAAATGACTTTATAATTCCAACGAAACAACACAGAATTATATTTATGAGCATTGCTGTCTTTCTTCCATATCTAAAATGAAGTCAGCACTTAAATTATACACTTTGCAAATAAGAAAATTAGATTTAAACTACCAAGACAATAATATTAATTGCGAATTATAGAAACACTATACAATGGGTATTGATTAAATATAATTATTAGACCATACGAACCTTTTAAAAAATGGGGAAGTTTTCAGTTTTCTATATAATATTTTTGAGGATGTGAGATACAAATCTGAATTTTTCCATCCTAAATTTTTCCGAGAAAAGGTTATATATTTGACTCTATTTTTTATTTAAAAATAACTGATGTGTTCCAATATTTCCTTAGCCAAAATATAATGTGCGATCCTATGATGGTCTAATTTGAGTCAAACTTTTTTCTTCGCCTCCGAAAAATATAAGCGAGGTGTCATTCGATTTGGCATAGCGTGTAGATGAATTTTAAAAAAAATCAAGAACCACTTACAAAAATTGCAGAAGTTATAAACAATTAACTGAAAAAAAAATTGGGTTTGGTTTTTTGAAAATATCTCAATAACTATTTGACATTTTCCATATTTGAAAAAAGATTCAAAAATTTCCCAAAAAAAAAACCTATCTCCCGAAATATTTATAATTTTCCCAGAGGGTTGAAAATACGGCCGAAAATGGAGACTCTGGTTTGCGTAAGCTTCGTCCACTGTCCACTAATTATGCATTAGTTAATTAACAATTTTTTCCTACTTGAACATTAACATTGCAAATGCGATAATTGTTAAATATCAAATTACGGTCTCATAAGAGATTCCCGTTGGAAAAATTAATAAATTGTTATTTTTCACTTCGTTATTAACAATTTATTTAGGTTAAAAATTACAAAGCTTGATTAATCATTGAAAAAAATATATTTTTTTTATATTACTATTGATCCGTTTTTTAACATCAGAAGCCACATGAAACTGATTTTTAAAATTTCTTATTTTTTATTTAAAAAATTGTTATAAACAAGGACTTTTTTGGGGAAATTTCTTCTTTTTTTTTAATCTTGTCAAATTTGGCAAATTTTAAATAGTTTTTAAGATATTTTCTAAAAACCAAACAATTTTTTTTTTTTTTTTTCAGTTAATTGTTTATATCTCTTGCAATTTTTGCAAACGGTTCTTGAATTTTTTTAAAAATCATTTACACGCTATTCCAAATCAAATGACACCTCGTTCATATTTTTCGGAGGCGGAGAAAAAAGTTTGACCCAAAAACCACTTGTTAACTAGGAACTTGGAACCGTTTTCGTCATTTTGACACAAACATTTCTACTCATTTGTCGTTTATGCCTTGTTCAAAAGTTCGATTTCATTTTGATTTAAATAAAAATACCAAAAATATGTGTCTAAAGTCCCTTTATTTTATGTACCTTGAAAATGTTCAGTTTGTTTTTCTCTTTTTTGTTACACATGAATACTTAGTAATCTGAGTATTTACTATTCTCTACTCTACCTTACCTTTATCTTATATATGTATGGTTTATGCCAGTACAATTTTTTTAGTTTAATGATGTAACTTTAATTTGAACTTTATTTTATTGATGCATGATTGCAATTTTATGTGGTTCAAGTTTGTATAAAAACGAACATGCATATATTATATAATGCTAATTTACTAATTTTCTTATCTTTATGTACTAATCTAATAGGAAGTATATATTTTCTTATTTCTTCTTTGTTAACATTTTTTTTACAGTGATATCTTGTGTTATTCATTGTATGATGGTGTACAATCATTGTTTATTTATTTATTTCTTTTTTTTGCAATTTTTAATTTTCTAATACGGTAATTGGATTAGCAGTGGTATTGGGAGTGGAATGATTTTTGAAGGACCTTTTCTTGCAGTGACCTTTGATTACTGTGGATATCGGCGGGCAACACTCTTGAAAAGTAATCCATTGATCGTTTCACCTCTTGTATCATTCTAGCTAGTTGCAATAAAAGGAGAGAATATGGAAGTAGGTAGTGGAGTGTAACGGTTGGAACCGTCTTCGTTATTTTAACACAAACATATCTACTCAAACGTCATTTGTCGTTTATGCCTTGCGTCAAAAGTTCGATTTCATTTTTGATTTGTATCTGTCAACGAATCAGTTGATATTAAATTTTTAATTATCTAGGTTATCCGATGTAATAAATAATTTTAATATATCGTATATTCCGTCTGATTTTATAAGCCTGGCTATATCTAGACGGTTTAATTCAAGATATATCTAAAACTGTTTATGGGGATTTCTATCAAGAAGTTTATTTCAAGTTATATCAAGAGGTTTAGTTCGAGTTACATCTAAAGAAGTTTATTTCAAGTAATATCAAGAGGTTTATTTCGAGTTACATCTAAAGAAGTTTATGAGATTTAAGTTTATGAAGATTTATACCTAAGAGTTTGGTGCTATTCGAAGAATATCATTCAAGTCCCTTTGAAGAAGGCCTAGAATACCGTGCAAATCATCCCTCTTTATATTCTACCTCCTGTTACAATAGATAAGTGTTTATTTAAATAAATTATCTAAATTTGAATAAGTAAATCTCTGTGAATTAGAATTTGTTACTGCCTTATCTAAAACTTGGTTTAAATATAATATCTTAATGGTAGTGATTTTCTATATTTTTATCACTAAACTATAGTCATGTATAATAAGTTTTAAATATAGTGGTGCCCAATTTCTTTTTCCAAGTATTACGAGTTATTTAATAACCTGACCCACTCCCAAAATCATTTAAGCTTAAAACACTATAACAAATTGATAAAATAACAAGTATCACATTACAGACTATGAATACTTCGCAAGTATCTGAAATTCTAACCAAGAAGATTAAAATTAAGAATTTCTAGAATCTTTTATTTGAATGTTTTCTCATATCTTCGTCTTTAACTATAAAATTGGACCACCGTGACTAACTAACAGACAGTCTAAACCGGTGGATATAGGAATTTAAAATTTGCAGATAATATAACCTTGAGTAGACTAGGGGTTTACTAATAAATGATTGATTTTTTTATTTATTGTTGTACTGCTTAATAGATAATTCCAATTTTCAGGGAGCAGGAAATTGACAAAATTTAACTAGAAAAATATAAGTAAGAATAACACTATACGGACCTAAAAACATCAGACGCTATAAACACTACAACAAAATAAACATATTATGCAAAGGCGATGACTTCAAAACATTGGTTCTTGTTATTGTTGATGGGATATATTTTTTAGTCTCTTTTTACGATCTGTTCTAAGACATTAAGCTACTGTTTTGACGGTGAATGACTCGTGTAGATTAAATCCATTGAATCTTCTACCTAAGTCTTAAGTACTTAATTACTAGAACACTATAACATTTACCCAAATCTGTCTGTTAGTTCAGATAGAGTAAACCTCTTGGGCCTTCTTGTTTCGCCTGTTTGTTCAAAAACTCTGTTGGCTAGAACATTGGGATGCACTAAAACTCTTGAACTATAACTGTCAATGAGTTGAGTAATCACTTCAATCACTGATGCTAAAAGGGTGTCTTGTTAGAGAACCCTACATGGATCATAATAGAATGAATTGACGATGCAACAGATAACCGTATTCTGGATTCACTATACGACTTATATATTGATGTTGATGGCAGTGCCCCCATAAGTCCACATATTTGAAAATAGCTTTGTACAGCAAGATCTTATTTTCCAATAATAACTGTGATTTGTGACCTTTAATCCAGTTCCCAGGTGAGTCTTTTATAAAGGTGTATGCCAAGATATATTAGGTTTTCTTTTTGAAAAAGTTGGCAATTCTTGACTTTGACTAGAGAACATCTTTCTCTTCGAGTAGGGAAGGTTGTATGTGCAGATTTAGTTTCGTTTGCCTTAATACCCCCTTTTTTAAACCAGTTTTGAATTTTGTCGAGGTTAGTATGCAAACTGTTGGATGCTGTTTTGGGTTAAGTATGAGATGCCAGTATTGCTGTCATCTGTATAAATTGTTACAAGATATTCTGCAATAGAAAGTAGGTTTGCACTGTAAATCAAGTACAGCTACTGGACCTATGATGTTTCCTTGAGGGACACCTTCCTTGATAAAATAAAGAGTAAAATATTGTTTTCTTATACAATGAAATGTCTGTTATCGAAGTACGAAAGATTATGTTTCATTTTGTAGTAAAGACCTATATGCCATATGTCAAAGGCTTGAATGATATTACGGAATGCCGCTGAGTAGTATTTTTTAGCTTCTGTCACTATTTATCTCATTTACAAATAGGTGTACCTGTCATGCTGTACCAGCTTTTTGACGGAATCTAAACTGATGCTCAGTAATTATTTTTCTTTTTTGTATATTGTTTTAACTACTTTGAAGAGAATTGGCAAGAGACTTATAATAGATTTATATTATAGGGCTTCTTGTTGGTTTTCTTCTGATATACAAATCATGAGTGGTATAACTACGGTAGCGCAGGTGTCTACGGCGTCGCATTTATTTGCGAGCCAATTTTCTGGTAAAACGAGACACGATTTTAGATCCTACGGAAGATCATGTTAATTTATTTGCATGGTTCTCTATAGGATTTGATGGATGCCGTATTAGCAAAAATTTAATTTCTGTTGATATGACATCCAGATTATTAAAAATCACTATTCGTTACCGTTTTCGATGATGGTGGGGTTTTCCGGGTTATCCTCACCTGTAAGTCAAATGGCACCATCAATCATCTTTAAGTCGCCCCGGAGCGCCACGGCAAATAATAATAATAGCCGTTCCTTTCCCCGGACAAGCTCAGCTTTGGGGGTTAAAATTCACTCGTAAGGGGGTGAATTAGGGAGATTATTATTATTATTATTATATATAACTTAAGCTGAAATCGTTCTCGAAACGTGAAAAGCAAGGTGATCGCAATGAATTTTGTATGTATTAATTTAAGTAAGAAAATTAATAAATAAAAATATCTTCTCCTCTCAAAATCAATAATTTTATGTCTTTTTCAGCAGATATTGGTGAGCTGTAGATCTTTCCGGATTTAATGCAATTCCATCCCCAAAGAGGTGAAATAGAGTGAAAAATATTTTATAAAGACAACATTTTTTCTTGAGTTACCATGATAATACTTATAATTGTTTAGTGTTTTTTTCTTTTTTTTTTTGTTAGGGATAGTTATCTTTAGTTTAGATATGTTTTTGTGCTAAATAATTTAATTTAATTAAATAATTAGGAGTCTCACAGATTGTTTTTCCTATTGTAATATGTGAGGCCTACTATTTTGGTCCTTATCTTTCCTTATTATTGAAAACCAGGAAATAAATAATAATCTTGCGTGAATAGATCATTTGGTGTGTTGTAGACAACTGGATAACATTAACTATAAGGTCGTGTAATCAAAATAGAGATAACTAACCACTACGTCTGATTATAACAAAAATAAAATAAAACGTTAACAGTCGGTAGTTTATGTGAGTTAAAAGCTGCTGGGCGAATCTTTTCGTTTCTTTTTGACGTCTATAAAAATGTTAAGTTCTATGTGAAAGCATAGACTGACGGTCGACCTGTCAAGGTGATTAGGAATAAACCATGTCTTTAGAATGGACATTTTGATGCGTAATCTTAACAAATTTTTGCGCTTTCGCAAGTTTTGGATACAGATGTTCTAAAAGTTATTACTGCCAAAAAATAACAACGCGAAGAGTAAAAAAATTTATTCAAATAACTTCAAATAAATAGACGTTAATATAACTTTTTCCAGAAAAAACTAGAGTTTAGATTTGTATTCAGTACAGTATACAAATTCTTAAAAAATTCTTACCCGTTTTTTTAGGGTCACTTATATAAAAATTTCTATACTTTTAAGGAAAGTTCAGGATTTTGAAATTGTAGTGTGTTTAAGGTATTTAATAGGTGCCTTAGCTTAAACAGTGAAAAATAAATCAGTTATTGACACCAACGAAAGTGTGCCTTATTTATGAAGAAGAAAACAATACACTTAGTAAGATATATGAAAACTAATGTAGTATGTGTAGAAAGATTTAACATAAGTAAAAAAAAATAATTGGTTTTAGTGCATACTGTAGAAAATAAAGATATAAAGAATTTTTTTAATATCAAAATTTTTGCGACATTTGGGGAAAAGTCCTCGCAAAGAAGAAAAATAAATAAACCAGCATAGTTAATGCCCTTTTTAAGGCAGTATTCACCATTTTCATCTTAACACTATGATAACTAACAATGAGATAAAAAAGTGTGATAAAAACAATTGTAATTCACCATCAAATTTCAAGTCGATAATAGTAAACAGACAGTTAACTGAAAGTAACCAGAATTTATGTTGGTACTGATCTGTAGTGGCTAACTTTACTACTATTAATTTATTAAATTTTACTGTTATACCAAAATTATACTATCAATTTTAAGAACAGGATTTAATTTTAGAATAGGTTTTAATTAGTTTATTGTTTTTTTTTTTTTTTAATATGGACAGACAACGAAAAAGCGTAGGCAAATTAAAATTTGATTTAACTTAGGTACAGGTTTCTCGAGTCTAGTTATTGGTTTAAACACACCATAAAACATGTTGTATAGGTACTGATTCCACAGTATCTTCTTTTAAAATCGAGGTCATCCAATTGATGCATCAAATTATCATGGTTCATAATTTTTGTTCGTCTAATTTGATCGTCATTATCTTCTGAAGATAAAGTTAAAAATTATCAAAAAAAGACTAAATTAATGCTTTCCATTCTATCAAAGAATTATTACTGTTGACATCAAATAATATGACGTTTATATGAAAACACTGATTTATCAGTCTGTGAGCAAGTTATCAGCCCGAATTTCTTCTGTTAACTTATCAGAGGATTAACTTGTGTGTCAAGCCTAACCAACATTGATGAATATCAAAAGAAACACTAACAAACTGTTAAGAGTTAACTATTTGATAAAGACAATGGTAAACATGGCTGTAAGTATCGTCTCAGTTTTCATACCGGTACATTTTCAATCAAACTCCGGATAGATGGCCAATTCTACCTTTCTTAAGTTCTAGTGTAAAAATATATACTTATTTGTTTACTCATCACAATTATTTTTATTTACGCATATATATTGCTTTCCTTAAAAAAAATTGATAAATAGAAAACGTGGGGCACATATTCCAGACTTACCCCACTGATTTTTATAAATATTATAGCAAACACTGCTATTTTATATTATAATTAATTTATTAAAGAAGCTATTTATTTCTGTTTATTTTTGAATTCCTTTTTAAAATTTATTTTGAAAAGATGGGTACTAACCTGTCTGAGAAAAATCCAGAATATGACAAACAAACCAGTTCACCAATCATATTCGTCGTTCCTACCATGGTTAACATCCAAACATTTTCATTACAGTGGAGTCCAAACTACAAAAAAAAATTATAAAGATTAAATATTAACATTAATAATTATAATTTAATAGAAATGCATTTGTATTTTTTTTTTCAAAATTTTTAGGAAAATTTTTCATATACATTATTATCTAGCAACCCTTGCACATGCAAGTCTCTGGGAAGCTTGTTATTCACAATTTTTTGAATTTGCATTGGTTTTTCTAGGCTTGATTGGCTAAGGTTTAAAATTACAAAGTCATCCATTTTTTTTAAATGGTGGTACATGTTTGTATTACCAACATTATTCATGATACATAATTGTATCACCCAAGTAAAAGACTAAAATATTCACAAATTATTATTATCATTTATTATTACATATTACGTATCACAAAAACATTATTAAAAAATTAAAATTCAAGGAAATAATATTAAAAATACAGCATTTTCCGTCAAGATAACGGCGTTCTTTAACACGTTCACGACGACGTGTTCCACCAGTGGAGCATCGCACGTTTCTCCGGTACGCGTACTGCTCCACCGGTGGGCTACTGGTATTAGATGTATTCTATGCTCGTTAAAATATTACACATATGGAGCAGGTTTATGTTATTGGGTAAACGTATATAGGAAGGGTATAAGAATATTCGTGTACCACCGTTGGCGCACTTGTTCACAGAAATGGATGCAGTAATAAATTAAAAATGACCATTATAAAATGAAATTTTAATAGTTATTTTATAAAAATACATTTGACTTTTTCTAACCTAAACCAACATATGTCGATCGATTAAAAGAGTTAAACTTTAGTTTGGTTTAATAGTATAGAAAAATAAAACGTAAAAGTTAATACAAAAAAATCTAAAAAAAAACAAAGTCATGAAACACAACCGTTTCAGTTGTGATAATTGTTAAAACGGTCTATGCAATATTCCTGAAAATTAGGACAGTCTTCACAATAGGTTACAACTCTTTTTGCCTTCAGTTTGACCACCTTGGCTCGGTTTGAATTTTTAATCTTTTGGTAGCAACTAAGACATCTTTTTCTATTTTGGCGGCAGAACTTTCGTATTTTTTAATTTGTGAAATATTTTTTCGGAGTGTTTTATTTGCTCGCCTATCAACATTAATTTCGTCGTCATTTTGTGGTACATTGGGAATGGTATCATCAACATCATTATCATCTAGCAACCCTTGAATTATAGCATCGCGAACATGAAACATGTCGAAAGGCTTACAGCCGTATGCATAGTCGATCGCCAGCGACTCGCCAGAGATTCATTTCGGCGTATCCCCAGCGATTCGCTGGCGATCCGCCGGCGAAAGCCCAAAAAGCTGGCGACTCGCCGGAGATTGTCACCGGAATGTCATTTCACGCAAGTTTTCATGTTCTTTTATAGGGTATTTGATATTCGTTCATTATTTTTTGAGTTTCAAGAAATGAATCATGAATAAAATGCGAGAGATACCGGTGATAATCCCTATAAAAGAAAATGAAAACTTGCGTGAAATGACATTCCGGTGACAATCTCCGGCGAGTCGCCACCTTTTTGGGCTTTCGCCGGCGGATCTCCAGCGAATCGCTGGCGATACGCCGAAATGAATCTCTGGCGAGTTGCTGGCGATCGACTATGCATACGGCTGTGTGTTTTTTGTGGAAAAGTATTATTTATGGACCATACATTTACAACAGCTGTACCAAGTACAACCTAAAAAACGCACTTTCTATACCACTTTACAGTCTTTCATAAAGAAGTATAATATGAGCTCATTTGATCCGACATGTCTACATCTTTTTTGGGATTGTTATAAGCAATTACCGCGGGCGGTTTTAATATATCGTCTCCCTTTCTGCTCTTTTATCCAGTTGGAATTTATACATCTGTATATATGTTGGAATGATTGTGATCATTATAACCGGCCTCTTATCCACTTATCACTGGTCTGTGCACCATATACTTCACCTCTTTTTAGTTTTTTTTTTTGAATAACAGATTTTGGATTGCCTCTTCGGTTTTGTTTCAGTGTCCACGTAAGTAAGTATTTCTGTCCAAAAGATCTTTCGACAATTGAACATTAGTATAGAAATTGTCGATAAATAATGTTCGTCCCTGATCAAGAAGACGCTGCATCAGATTCATGCATATATCATATGTGTGTCCTTTATCACTCACGGGCTCATTTTTTCCTGCATATACGCGCAAATCGTAGGTATAACCTTTTGTAGTACATACTTTATAAATTTTTATGCCATATTTGTGTGATTTTACGGGAAGATACTGGCGAAAGGCTAGTCGTCCCCGCTAAGGCACCATGGTCTCTTTTATTACCACATTTATGCCAGGAAAAAGGCTTTCTTGAAGCCGTTGACATAATAATTTTATGATGTTTCTTATTTTAAATAATCTGTCACGTTTTGCCTGAGGATCCTCGTTGTTGAAAAAGGGGATAAATTTGAGAATGCTCTTAAATCAATTCCTCTTCATTATTGTTTGAGTAAATGCATTGCCAAATTTTTCGCCGCTAGTCCAATACAAACGCATTTGCGGCAAATGTGAAATTCCCAGTAATAAAAGGATAGCAAAAAACATTTTGATTTCTTCCCGATTGGTATCGGTCCATTTTTTGAGCATAAATCTTGGTCGAAACTTATGGGTCTCTAAATATTGTGACGCATAGCGATTGGTTTCCACAACAATAACATCGAGGATATCGTCGGTTAGAAACTCTCTATAAATTTTATATGGATTGTCAACATGCAAATTACTTTTTTAAAGTTTACTTCGTTGTTGATATCGAAACGTAAATGGCAAATCCCGACAGGAACTCCAGTTATCCTGTGGTATGTTCGTGGTATCTTCAGACCCTGCTGTGAAAGAAGGAATATCATTCTCTACTTCGTTCTCGGAAAACACATACGAGTCGCCAGAGTCCTGGAACGGTTCCGAATCATCTTAAGATAACCAGTAATACTGTTTTTGAGTTTATGATGCCTTTCTCGTGTTAGTAGATGATGTAGACGGGCCGGCAAGAGAAGTCACAGGAACTTGTGTTTTGCTTGGGGCTGAAACGTCCCCCAAATATTTAGAGGCACCTCTCGGGGTTGATTTGGTTCAGGTTCTGGTATTGCTAATTCTGCCGGTGTTTAGGATGTGTTTTTGTGTAATCTACGAATAAGGAAGTTTGATTGTTTTGGGATGAATCTTGGACCAAACTAGGTTGAGAGGCAATTCCCGTGGAGCCTGCCGAAGAGTAAGCTTTACTGTTCTGGGGCACATCAGAAATCAAATTAGATTCCTGAGTGGTTTATGTTGGCGGCGCCGATGAAGAATCTTGATGGCTTTCATAGGGACCTCTTGAAGGTTGCAACAAATTTAAAATTTCCTTGGTTCTCGTCTTCATGTTTATTTATTTACTAAACCTGTAACAAAAAGCTTGGTGTCCACTGGTAGTACATTGTGCCGCCAAAGAATAAATATTACCTGGCGGCGTTGTGTAATACCCGTGGTTTACTAGTAAAAAGGTCATAAATTAAACAAAAAAAAATTACTGTTAAAATTTTATTTATTTATAAAAACTAGTGGCATATCTACATAAACACAAAACAAATAAAACTCACCTCCTGGAAATGCATACCAGTATCACTTGTCGTCGTGAACGTGTTAAAACTTAAAAGCTCTGGGCTCATTATGATACTGTAGGGCCACCGCCTAAGACCGACCCTGATCATCTCGCCATAAAAGCCGCCATCTGTGTTTCGATACCGCTGGACAGTGAGGACGTACTCTTTTGAGAAGTTAATGGAGGAATATTTGCGCACCGGCTAAATTGTAGAGAAAGAATTTCCAGAGGTTCTAGTCTAGCATTGAGAATCTTCTCGAGCAGGGCTTCTACGTGAGAGACCCGGGTTTGATTTTGGGTGGGGGACTAATTAAAGTAAATCTTTGTTTTTCATCTTTATTTTATTTTAATTAATAAAAGTCATAAAATATGTTACAAATAGTTATTTTGTCTTAATAACCTAAAATATTTTTTTAAATTTGTAGATTTTCGTTAGTGGGTCATAGAAAAAATATACTATACAACTGTAGTGGATTGTCCATATCCAGTCTTGTTGCACAAACTATTATTGTTAATTTAAATAAAACTGGATAAAGTCAATTTAATTATGAGTAATAAAACAAAAATGTTAGTCGCATAGATGGTGGTGAGGTCAGCGCGCTTGCCTTCTATGTGGAAGGCCAGAGTTCGAATTCCGGAATGGGGACAAATTGAATTAGGTTTTTTCTTTTATTTTTTTTTGTTTACTTTATTTTTTAGTCGACCGTCATAAAAAATTACATTTTACAGATAAAATTCCTAAAATGTCACTTTTTTGTCTGCCTTCACTTTACGGTCGATTTAAAGTGTCACTGTTTTGGCAGCATTTACTTGACGGCCACATTTACTTTACGACCGAAACACAGGTTTATCATATTTATCGTTCATAATTCTGTTCATATTTTATAAGTTCATTATCAACAATGGATTTTTATTCGATAAATAAAAATTTGAAACAATTCTTACATAAAAATATTGGCTTTACTTGATGAAAAAGTCGCCTAAAAATTTTTATTTGGATCTTGGCCGTATGATCTTTTTTGGCCTAACGAGAAACTGCTTGGCCTCGGCCTTGATACACAAATAACTAATCTAAGTAAGTAAAAGTCATATATTATTTTAAAATTAGGTATTTTATCTTAATAACCTAAAATAATTTTTAATATTTGTAAATTTTTGATAGTGGGCCGTAGAAAAAATATACTGTACAACTCGAGTGGATTGTCCATATCCGCTCTTGTTGCACAAACTACTACCCATGGTAAACGCACTGCCGACCTAATAAATATTTATTATACCTGATAGACTAATGCCAAATCTATCTCTATGGTGTCGTCTTATTTTATGACGTCCCGTTTTGTGCCGCGACCTTTTTCAGGTAAAATGTTTCCCGTTTTGTGACGAGACAAATTTTTACCTGCAATAAATTCTCA